CCAAAGCCATTTTTTCTGATCGAACCGAGATTGTTGAATAATTCAGTGTGGGCTTTATGGGAAACTCAAGCGCTTTTTTCCTTGCTGATGCTACAATAGAAGACAACAATGGCCGAAATATGTTGCTGCTAATTGAAGCGTTGTCCAACAGTTTCGTGTAAATTATAATCGAATATGTTCGCAGTTAAGGCACAAAGTAATTGATGAGAACCGAAAATCCACACTTCCTTTGTAGCAGTTAATTGCTTAATTCCAAGCGTGTTGCAGATGTGCGTGCGTACTCTACCAAACCGTCGCTGTTGGAAAAAATACCGCAGTTTCCTAATCCATTAATTTCTTCTAGGAGATAACGAGGCGTCCGAGATGGAAAAGAAGTCCACCCGAAATAAACCCGACGTTTACATAACGTAGTCTAGTGCAAAAGGCCTATTAACTTTTTATTGTAACAAAGAGAGCCGCCTTGGCAAACATCCTTTTAGCCGGAGCCAGTGAGTTCATCGAGCTGAAGGTCCACCAAGGACGTCGGAGCCCACTTGGTCGATAAGACGTCATTCTGCAACGAATTTCAGAATCCCGTCCATGCTAAAATTGGAAAATCCTTAATAGTTGCGGTCAATAACTATGTAAATCGCCTAGTTTATTACTCACTAGTGCATTATTTCTGGCAGCGGTGGCAGAGCGAAATTTCGAGACCTTATCAAAGGGGACTTTAGTTTTCCCAGTGCAGTTTTTTGGAAGTTTTCCGCGAAATTTGTGCGAAAAATGCTTTGGAGAGCTGAAAGTAAAGAACTGAAAAACTGTTGTCGCCAGCTTGAGTTCGCTTTACCTTAGCTGGCGACAAAATGTCTCTGAAAATGAGAACTATATTCAAGTTCTCACGCGTGTGTTTTAGCGAAAAAATGGCAAAAATCCGCAAAATCCTTGACAAAAAACTCCACATCCTGCATGTGTGGCTGATCTGTTATGACTAATGCGAAGCTCCCATATAAAGCGGGCCGATATGGTGTAATATATTACAAAAACAGCGAAATAAAGAAAGTAAAACCTCTGGCTCGACCACTACCTTCGGCCAGTCCCACGCCGCTTGGCCAAGGAATCGAATTTGCAAATTGCCCGATTCTTTTTGGGCATCGGGTGGGCGTTTATAGGCGAAACTGGCAGCCATCGGTGTTATACCGGGTGTGGCGTTCAATCTTTGCCATTATTTACACTAGCAGGAGTTATAATTTCAACGGCTGCTGCTTTTTCTTGCAAATTTATCACTGTGCATGTTGGAGTTGCATGTGGGTGGCTTCAGTGAGCAGAAAAATCTCTGCGGAGTTGCTGCCAAAGACCCGCGCATTCGCCAGCAGTTTGTTTTTAATCGATTACTTATAAACTTTGTCTTTTCATGTTGTTGCATTCGACCTCGTTTATTAGGGCTGCACACACGAATCATTTTTGGGCTTTGCAGAACATTCGGTATATTGACTAGACTAGATAGATGTTTTATGGGTTTTACATGCCCCGCCCTCTATTTTCCGTTATTTTAAATTAAGCTCCCCGTTCTTCTAGATGCCTGCACATCGACAATTTGAAAAGGCGTGTTTATGTGTCTCTTTTGCCATCAAGAAAAAACTTGCCCTCAAAATTAATTAAATTATTTGGCTATTTGGGCCTTATTCTGCATGAAATATGTTGAATTCCAAAAAAACTCGAAAATTCCATTTTCGCACTTACCCCTGTAAAGGGTAAGCTGGGCAAGGAAGAACGGATAAATAAATAACCAAGATGTCGGTCGTTCCAAACCACGTGTTTTGTCTTGGGCGCGAAAATGGCGGTCTCCTAAGCAGGAGAACAGAAGGTTTAGTGAATGGCTCCGTTTCTCATGCAGGAATAGATGCGATGGGCACGTTTACACCGCAAGCGATTTACCAGCAGTGAAAGTTGCACCTAAACACCAATATGACTGACTGGTTGTTGCCGCTAGTCGTTTGGATGAGCCTTTTTGCCTTAGTTGTAGTTTGAGATACATTGAAAAGACAAATCGATTAAATAATTTAGCATTGAACTCAGGGGGGGGTTTATGCAGAAAAAATACAGTCTTCTGCTGTTTACGAAATTAGAAAAGTGGTCGTCGTTTTGTGTAAGGGTGGCGCAAGATTATTGCAAAATTTCATGTTTTCCGTCCCGTTTTGCATGTTTCTCAGAAGCAAAATTAGCAAGAACGCCCGTTTTTACATCATTCCAGAGATAACTGAATGGTCTGTATTCGAAGTTTCTCAAGAACCATTCAAGCCACAGAATCCGTTTTTCGTTGAATAGAGAATTGAAAAGTCGATTCAGCCGTAACAACGTGAGTGAGGAAATTCGAGCAGTTTTGACCCAGAAAGCGAAATTTGAATATTTCTTGGGTGCAAGATTATGCCAAAATTCCATGTTTTCCGTCCCGTTTTTGCTCATATCTCGGAGGCAAAATGAGCAAGAACGTTCATTTGTACATCATTC